GACAGACAGACAGACAGACAGACAGACAGACAGACAGACAGACAGACAGACAGACTGTGATACGCACACAGTAGTCGTGAAAACTAAATAGTTCGAAAGAGAGGAGTTGGGTTAAAAGAAAAAAAAAAGAAGAAAGGCAGTATATTACAAGTTAAAGACCCCGAGAGAGGAGTTAGGACAGAGATTAATTCTCTCTTCTGATTTCGGTTCCCAAAAATAAGTAACGCAGCGCCTCGTTGATCATATTTTTATAGTGCTGAATAACCTTGTAACCCCAATTATGCACAGAGAGAATCATCTAAAGAAAGCAATGAACGCGAGAAATTTCTCACGCTAAATCAGCTGAGGAGCAGTTTGCTGCTGGTTCTTCAACCTGCCGTGCAACTCATTTTTAGGTATATTGACCGTTTATCTTACTTCGTAGGGCCTCTTGCCTTCAGGAAACCACATTCCGATTTCGAAGTTCATGTATATGTTTTTATACTGACAATGAAAGTATTTGCAGCTTTGGTGGGAATTAATTTCGAATGTTAACCGGGTGGCGGCCGAAGCCTACTTTATCAGTTTTAGGGCCACTAAGGGATTTTAAAGCACGCAACTTTCACACGGGACCTCGGATATCTTCCGCCCTTTTTTCCGAGAAGGCAGGGTGATCATTCTTACCTACACTAAGATCGTGGGTGTGGCTGAATGACTGCATTTAGAAGGAGACAGTAATGGCAGTAGAAAGAGACCCAAGTCGGGAGTAAAGGAGAGTGGAGACCAGAGGAGATCGGGGTTGGGAGGGGGGGGGAGAGAGAAAGTGGACAGAACAGGATTAAAGAACAGGAACGGAGCAGAAAGGTGCAAATTTTAGGGGGAAAGTATTTTGTACTGTCGCTGTCAGGTTTCGAACATAGGGGCTTTTTGAAAGAGAAGCGAATAACATACCTCCAGTCCATAAGAGCCCCCTGTTTATATTAATATGATGATGATGATGATGATGATGATGATGATGATGATGAGGATGATGAGGATGAGGAGGAGGAGGAGGA